ATTACAAAAGGGACACACCGTGACAACCAGTTATTCCCGCACTACCTGCCAGTGTGACCGATTATAAACCCACCCTCAAATGCCAACAAAACCCTTTTCCAGTGTGGGATAGACGAAAAATCCTCCCATCCATAAGCCAATCAGGATAGAGGTCAAAAATTCCTATCCGGCCCTGAAACCAGCGACCCAAACAAGCACACCAGAATGAGGGCGGGTGAGCTGGTGCCAAAAGCGAAAGAGAACTAAACCATGGGCCGGCACTTCCTTTTATCAGCACCGGCCTGCCAAAAGGTCACATGGCCCGGTTGCCTGCATCCTCCGGGGCCGGAGAAGCAAAGGACGCCACGGAGATTGAGTGCGCAATAGCGTGCACCTCCTGCATGCGTGTACTTTTCCCCATGGTTCACCTGATTTACTCCAGATAGTTGGAGGATCCTTCAAAACAAGGCATGTGAATCCATCAAAGTCAGAAAAATCCCTCTTGCGCAAGCAGAATAACACTCTTCCCATGAAAAGACACTTAAATCAAAAGATAATGGCAAGTCTCTCATTTCTGACCCCTACACCTGTCCTGTTTTTCAAGGGTAGATGTGTAAGTCCTCTTGGTAAGGAAATGCAATACTTCAGTGTCCTATACAGGACCTAGGTGCATTTATTTATAAAAATATCAACATCCTCCTCTGTATCAGATCTTGGAACTGACTACAGATCCTGCAACAATATTACGCAAAATAAAATAAATTAAAATAGTATAAAACAGATTAAAACTAATTAAAACTGTTTGAACAGCTTGTACAACATGTTCTACCTCAGAATATGGCTCGTCAAGCCATTACTCCTTGGGCACAAAAGCTTTGGTGAAAAGTAAGAACTCTAGTGGACTATCAGGCACTCGCTGTCACAGAATACAGAAAAGAAATTTCTCCATGAAAGGAGGAGTTGTTTGCCGAACAGGGCCCCATCCATTCCAGTGGCAGTGAGGGAAAATGGCATCAAGTTGTATGGTCCAAGGAAAGTTTCACTCTGTTTTTATTGGGAAGGAAAGAACTGCTGTTCCGGAGGATTCTGCAAAATGAGGAACCTGCCCTCGTGGCATTTGTTTGTAGGCTGCCAATAGTAAACTTCTCACGGGAACTCTTCCACATTCATATGCAAAATGTGTGTTTCCTTTCTAGACCCTCATTTATTCCTAGACATCACAACTCTGCCTGTTTGTTTTCATACAACTGCAGCACCAAACAACAGCCAGGTTTCAAGAATTTCAAAATGGAACCAGATCTACTACATTGAGGGACGGCTCCCCTAGGCCATTGATATGGAATGTTACAAAACAGAAATTATTTGCTATTTATTTATTCTTTACTATTGCATTTTTATTGCCAGGAAAGGGAAGAAATAGTGAGTGGGTTTTCTTGTGCCTCTGGTGTCAAAATAAATTGGCCAGCCTTGGGTTCTATACACCTAAACTTGTTGTGAGGCACATGTATTTTTGCTCTGCCCCAGGTTACTCATGGACTGTAGATGGTGTATTGCCTTAGGGACTCCATTATCTTTATCCCCATAATTGAACCACTGTTGTTTCCTCACTTCTTACCGGCAATGCCAGTCTGTATTGCTGTCTTGAAGTGGAATCCATACAGTCTCCTCTCCCAGTTGAGGGTCAATGTTTTCAAAATCATTGGTGCAACATCCGGATAACAACTACCACTGTCATTCTGTTCCACAAAGGCCAGACCTTTTTAGCAAGTCATAGCAGTGGGCTTACCTTCACAGATGACTCCCAGATCCACTGTTTCCAATATTAGTCTAATGGTACACTAAGGTCTTCTTAAGCCATTGTGCAACATCAAAGATGGTGCAGAAAGTGTTGCAAAGGAAAACCCATTGACCGCTAAATAACAAGATTTTACATACCTTCTGCTGCTGATAAATTTTATTTATCTTGTTCAACGTTCTCAGACAATTATCAATGGCACTCAAACACACACGCACGGACCCCAGAAGGCAGCAGATCTGCAATGTCACAAGGTACTTTTGCTGCCCTCCTTTATAGCGGAACCAAACACAGCTAGGATGCTAGGACCTTTGCAAAAGTTTGTTTGGTATCCATGCCAAAACAGACTTTTAAAGGAAAAACGGAGGATTGTGTTTCCTTTGGATGTTTCCTATGAATTCCCTTGCTTTGAGTAACTGACAGACATTAAAAGGTGCTCATTCGGGTGCTGTAATTGGGTTGGATTTCACCTAAGGTAGCCAATAGATTTTCTTGAGAGCTGGAATGGAAGAAATGTCTCGTCTTTTATCTTACACCAATGCAAATCTCTATAGTAAACTCCAAGCTGTACCCTTCCTGTCTCATCACACAAGCTCCTTCTGCAATAGTGATCAGACATTCACCAGGAGGTCCCCTGTATTACCAAGTCTGGAAATAATTTCAGACATTGGATTAGGTAAAGGAAATCATCAGTAGCTGAAGTGAGTAGCTTTACCTGAATAGATAATTTCAGAGATTGGATTAGGTAGCTGAAGTGGCACTCAGCTACCTCACTTCAGCTACGATGGCACTCATCGTAGCTGAAGTGAGTAGCTTTACCTGAATATTGTGCTGAATATTGTGCTTACAGTATGTGGTGTAAACTCCTCCAGTATAGGTTCCCCCTGCTAAATGGCAAAACTGGATATCCACAAAGTCCTAAACAAAAGCACAGATAGCCAAGCTGGTACAAAATTATTTCCAAAACCCATGCTGAGGTGATTCACTTTGCTATTGTTGTTAGATGCCACTTTTGATTTGAAGCAACTCTCATAGGATTTTTGAGATATGTGGGAAGTTCAAGGAGCCGTTTACCATTGCCAGACCTTCCCAAGTGTCCATGGCTGAGCAGGGATTTGGACCCAGGTTTCCGAGTCCAAGTCTGACTATCCACCCACTATACCTTATTAGCTCTCCAGTTTACTGAGCCACCCAAAGAGAGCAAGTTTTCAAAATTGGTGTTTCTTCATCAGGCAAGGAAAAAGACAAAAGAAGGGAGGAAGCTTATCTCAAAACCTTGCAGTCTGCATTTTATCTTGATATGTTGTCAAGACCACAGAGAACAACAACTTAAGTTTTTCTCTTTCCCCTTTGCTCACTTTTGTAGCAACTTGCTTAATGAAGAGGGAGTGGCCTTGAAATATTGTACACCCTTCTGTGTCTTTTTTGGGTTGACCAGGTACCACCCTTGTATAAATATTATAATTTGTTTGCTGAGATGTTTTCATGCAACCTGGAATGCCACGAAGCTTACCTAGCGAGCTGCAGAGTCATTTGTTTTTCATGTCCTGTGCTTGGGAGACCTTGTGCATATCTAGTCTGCCTACTTAAAGTTCAAATTTGCTTTAATACAGTAAAATAACATCCAAGGTAACCAAAGCCCATTTAGATTGAAGCAAAGCTACTTCTAATGGACAAATGCAGGAAAAGCAGGGCTGGTTAACTGCTTTACCACATTCTCTTTCCCTGTTCTATCAATTGCCTTTGTTTTCTTCACAAAACCACTCATGCAGAGTTTTTGTGAATTTAAAACATATGGAAGGTTAAAAGTCTGGGATCAGGAAAATAGCAGGTAAAGGAATTATAGTTTCTCCTTACCATCCATCTGCAGACACAACACAAAGTTCTCTGCTCCAGATTATGCACATCAGAAACAGCTTCTTTTGAAATGGGCTGTTAGACTACCATCATTGTTTTGTGTTATTTCGGTCTAAAGTCTTCGTTGTGTACATGGGATTGCCATATTTATATCTGAAACTGAACTTCCCTTTGTTTATGGAGCAAATCAGTAGACAGCCAATGTTAGAACAGCATAGATGAACCACTTCTTCTGAGATCAAGAGATTTGGGCTAAACAAAACAATACAAAAAATACACAGTAAGAAGCAGCAATTTTTTTGAAAGCTCTCAGATTATGATACCACAGCCTTTCTGTCGTATGTCTTGAAAATTACCAATCTTTGTTTTCTGTCTGGTCATTAGGAGCTAAACAGTGGCTTAGTTAGCATTCTGATTGCTCAGATACAAGGCTGGGAGAGGATCAGATCCCTGAACACTTAGGTGTTCCTTGTTTCTAATAATGTGCTAACAATAGCATCTCATTTGACCCTCTGAGATGACAATTTTAAGCTTGAAAGTTAAATGGTTCTTTGGATAAGAACATAAAGGATGGAGAAGAGGACCTTCACAACACTGTCCCACTGATAATTCAGAAAGCTAGTGTGCTTGAATGCCGAAAATAACAGTTTAAATGTATCTGAGCAGCCTTTCTACACAAAATGGCTGCCTTTCCCCATAAATTGGTGGAAACTGTAGCAACTGGGAGGAAAGCCATGCAGTTGTTGCTGACACTGTCCTTCTCATAAGTTTTCCATGATGTATACTTTCTTTATATGAAGAGTTCAGAGTAGTTTCCCTTCTCTGTTGTTATCTTTCCACTACAGGAAAACCAAATGTCTCAGTTCCAGAATGTATAGCGTGCCAGATTGCTTTTCTGATCTAGTGCTACTGCTACTCCATAGCACCATATTTTATCCTCAGAGGATATTAAGATTTTTTTCAAACTACAAGGCTAGTGCTCTATGCCAGAATCAGTCATTTCAAAATTTATATGCAACACAGCTATCATGCATTATATGATTTTATGCCTTTAAAATAACAAGAATGGTTCTCTTTAATTACCGTATTTTTCGCACCATAAGACACACTTTTTCCCCACAAAACAGGGGGGTGGAAATTCTGTGTGTCTTATGGAGTGAGGAAAACAGATTATATTTTCCTGCTTTCTTCTCCTAAAAAATTGGTGCGTCTTATGGAAAGGTATATCAGTGAAGATCACCCATTATTTCACTGAAGTTGTTAGCTGGGTCCACGGAGATAAGAAACAGGTTCACTCTCAGGCTAGTTCCCTATGAGGATTAGATTAGATACTACTATGACTTGTGTGCCGTCAAGTCGATTGTGACTTATGGTGACTCTTTTCATGGTTTTCCAGGTATAGAATACTCAGAAGTGGTTCCCCATTCCCTTCTTCTGGGGATGCCCTGGGACAGTGCAGCTTGCCCAAGGCCACACAGGCTGGCTCTTCTAGAATGCAAAATGGGGAATGAACTTGTAAGCTAAACCACTGAGCTATCCAGCCACCAAGTATATTTGGTTACTTTGTAAAGACATTTATGCCAGGGTCATCGAAGTGACAATCTTCACTATCCCGAATTAGAACTCTCTACATAAAAGGCAGTGCTGAAAAAGAAATACTGGGTAACTTTGTCTCTTGTTATGATAGGTGCTTCTGGTTGCATGATTATCACTTCAATTAACAAAGTCTTAGAACAAATTGTGCCTCTCAGACCATTCCTTACAATGCTTTGCTATGTGTGTCTAGCTAAAATAAGTCTGTGGATGATAAATACTAGTTGAAATCCTATGGCTTTAACGTACACCATGTAAAGCGGACAGCATCAGCAGCCATGGTTATCTTCGGGAATTAAACATTTCTGACCCCTTTCCCAAAGGTTCCAAAATTTCTTGGAGGGCAGAAATCTTACAAGGACAGATCTTTCTTCTGTGAGGAGAAGAAAGCTTTTCCCATTTTGATTTCTTTCCCAGAGCTGATAGGGCTGTAAGAGTCACCTCCCTACTTTGAAAATCACTTTTTAACCTGATGACTGAGGGCAGTAACAGACATTATAGAGAACCTGTCATTAGCGCTGAAAGCATCCTGGTGTTGGAGAGGCATGATTCAGACTTCAAGCCAGACTTCAAAGGAATACTAGGCTCAGATGCTGAAGACCACTCACAAAACATAGCTGGCTGATCTAGATACCCATGAGAAGTAAGAAAAGCTGACACTCAGCCAACCCTTAAGGATCTTGCTTTTCTAATTATAGGCTATCTATAGCATCTGCCTCTGTTCAGAATCTGCTTTACTTTCATGTCTTTTTCAGTCAGGGAAAGCACAGCAAGAACAGGGCTCAGTTTGCAACTCAGCAGCCATTTAGAGGAAACAGACTGCCAAGTGTTGCCTGAGTCTGTTTAGCTGCTACTCCCCACCCCAGGCAGAACACACAGTGGCAGGGGAATCTAGTTCAGCGGGTGCTTCGTGGATCCGCGTTTCCAAGCAGTGGGCAAGTCTTTTACTCTATGTACGTCAGTGTTTCCCAACCTTTTTCAAGCCCTGATCCACTTTTATAATAGCTGAGTCATTGGTAACTCCCACCTAAATTGTGATCCCCCACAATACACTTCATGATTCCCTTGGGGTGTCCTGACTCCCTGTTTGGAACCTATGGTGTAGACCAGTGGTTCTTAACCTTTGTTACTCAGATGTTTTTGAACTGCAACTCCCAGAAACCCCAGCCAGCACAGTTGGTGGTGAAGGCTTCTGGGAGTTGCAGTCCAAAACTCCTGAGTAACCCAAGGTTAAGAACCAGTGGTGTAGAGCGTGCCCTGGAACTGTGTGTCCAAGTGCTGTACAGAGAAGGTTAAAGTGGGTGTTAAGAAGAGGGATTGTGACTTGGGGGGGGGAGGAGAGACCTTTCAAGGGTGTATCTCTAGCATCATCTGGTTCATTGGATGGCTCATAGGGGACCATCTTGCCTCTAGGATGTATCTACTTTCCAAAGTCCTGATTTGTTCAGAGGGTTTGAAATTAACAAGGCATTTTTTTAAAATCTGCAGTTAAACTTCAAGGACTGTGAAAAGATTGTCAAGAAACACAACATAAATGGACAAAGATTTCTGGTAAGGCTCAATAAACCCATATGTCAACAAATCTATGCTTTCAAAATATATCAATTCCTTTGGATTTGCCTCCCCTCCCACACCACTCCTAGACACACAAAGTTAATGTGTGAGGAATTAGAGAATGTGTTTGCCTTTGGATTTGCCTCCCCTCCCCCACCACTCCTAGACACACAAAGTTAATGTGTGAGGAATTAGAGAATGTGTTTGCTGGGGGGGAGGGGTCTGTGGCTAATTGAAGGTGGAGTGGGCAACTTCCAGGGGCTGCACATGTCCAACTCTGGACTTTTGGGTTTGCCTCCCCTCCCCCACCACTCCCAGACACACAGAGTTAATATGTGAGGAATTAGAGATTGTGTTTGCTGGGGGGGAGGGGTCTGTTGGCTAACTGAAGGAGGAGTGGGCAACTTCCAGGGGCACATGTCCAGCTCTGGATCTTGGAAGTCTTGTGTGCGTGTGCGGGTGCGTGTGCGCGCACCCACAC